ATGTCTCTCTCACCTTAGTGGTTCTCAATATTCAATCAGTGAGAAATAAGACTGACGAATTTGTTTTGTTTTTAAGCAGTATTAACTTTCCCAATATTGTAGTTTTAACTGAGCATTGGCTCAAATGTGATGAATTGTACTGTCTCGATAATTATATCACTGTTGCTAGGTTTTGCAGGTCAAGTTCAGTGCATGGTGGCACTCTAATTATGGTTAAGGAACAGACTTTGAAAACTTCAAACTTTGTAAATGTGGATAGGTTTGATTGCTTGTTGGAGGAAAGATGCTTTGAGCTTTCTATAATTTATTGTAAAGAGTTGAATATGTATATTGTTGGCCTATATAGATCCCCAACTGCAAATTTCCAAATGTTTTTGAGAAAGTTGGAAACAATTTTGTCCAACATTTCAGTGAATGCCAAAATAGTGGTGTCGGGTGATTTGAATGTAGATTTTTTAGATACTTCAGGCTGTAATTTGAGACATTTAACGAGTTTGTTCGACTCATTTAATATTTTAATGCATGTTGATGGCCCCACTAGAATCACTTCCATATCTTCTTCTGGTCTGGATTATTTTTGTAGCAACTTCAATTCGGTAACAGACTGCAGAGTGGTAAGTGCAGGTCTCTCAGATCATGAGGCTGTGGTTGCCACCTTGAGCTTAAAAACTAAACCTCCTGAGATGAATAAATGTAGGTACGATAGATTGTTTACTCGCAGTAATTACGCTAGATTTAGGACAATGTGCAACAATTGTAACTGGAATGATAGCCTAGGTAATGGTGATCCACTGGAGGGCTTTCATTCAATTCTAAGCAATGTTTTTAATAGAGCGTTTCCCACTGTCCCGATAAAAAAAAATAAAAATAAAAAACCCTGGTATACCCTGGGTATAAAAAATTCAGCAAAAAATATGAGATGCTTACATTATATTAGAAAGTTTACATTGAACAATATTGATTTTGTGAATTACTACAATAAATATAGAAGGATTTACAGATCCACACTCAAACAAGCAAAAATTCTTTACTACTCAAATCGAATCAATGATGCATCTGATAGATCAAAAGAAACATGGAAAATTGTTAACTCTCTGCGTGGTAAGCACAACCATGCACCTATATCTAGTGACCTGAGGGCTGACCAATTGAACATCTATTATTGCAGCGTAGCCTCGGAGCTTTCAAAGCACATCCCTAAAACTACACCACCAGAGCGTTTTCTGCGTCACGTTTCTGTGCCTGAAACTTTTTTCTTCTCGCCAACTCATGTTGAAGAACTAAGGTCCATATTTGGTGGGATGGGTAACAAAAAATCCTCAGGTTGGGACAGGATGCCTCTGAATGTTATTCAGGCCCTTCCTGATCGGGCTTTGGCTTCGTTGGCCCACGCAGTGAATAACTCTTTCATATCAGGCACATTTTCTCCATGTCTTAAGAAGGCTATTATAGTGCCGATTTTCAAGGGGGGAGATTCGAATGAGGCCTCTAGTTTTCGCCCGATATCATTGCTTCCTACCTTGGCAAAGATTGTGGAAAAGCTGGTTAAGAGGAGAATACTTTCATTCCTCAATAAACATGATCTTCTGGACCCCCATCAGTTTGGGTTCTTAGAATCCAAGAACACAGATGATGCTATCTTTGGTTTTCTTCGACGGCTGTACCTTGAACTCAACACGGGGGATGTGGCAGCCTCAGTGTTCTGTGATTTGTCGAAGGCTTTCGACTGTGTTGATCATCCTACCCTCTTGACCAAGCTTGAGATTTATGGTTTTCGAGGTATTGCCTTGAAATGGTTTCATTCCTATTTATCGGGTCGGGTGCAGAGGGTTATTTTCAACAACTCTACATCAACAGAACAAGCCATCTCCACGGGTGTCCCTCAGGGCTCAGTTTTGGGTCCCCTGCTTTTTTTGATTTACATCAATGACTTGCCTCGCTTGCCTATCAGCGGAAAATTCACCATCTTTGCCGATGACACCACCATTCTTTGGCACGACAGGGACCCAAATAGGTTGCAGCAAGTGATTGAGAGAGATCTTGGGTGTGTCGCGGAATGGTGCAATTCTAATAATCTTTCTCTCAATGTTTCCAAGACCAACATCTTGAACTATAAATGCGACCTGGGTGACGTCGCTCTGAATGACGGAAGAATGTCCCGTTCAAGCACTGTAAGGTTTTTGGGACTGCACATAGATAGCTCCCTTAAATTCGAAAACCATGTGACGCACTTATGTGGGAAAATTTCTTCTGGCTGCTACGCCCTCAGAGTAATTTCTTGCAACCTGGGACTTTCAGTGTCTCGTCAAACATATTTTTCCTTGATTGAATCACACCTTCGATATGGGATCTCATTCTGGGGATGCTGTTCGGCGAGCCTGTTCCATACTGTATTTGTGCTACAAAAGAGAGCGCTTCGGTCCATGTGCTCTGCCAGAAGGAGAGACACTTGTCGTCCTTTGTTTGTGCGCCACTCGGTTCTAACATTGTACTGCATTTTCATTATGGAAACGGTATGCCTTGTGCGCAAAAAGTTTAGAGAAGAGCTGTTCTTGCCTCAGAATTACAGTACTCGTCAGACTTTCATGTTGCCCTTGCCGATTCCTAAGTCCGATCAGGTGAAAAAGTCCATTATTTACAATGGCAAAAAAATGTTCAATCATCTTCCTTTGTGTTTGAGACGGCAACGATGTGCGAGGAGATTCAGAAGGTCAGTTAGGAGGCTATTGCTAACAAAGGCATATTACACCTTGGACGAATTTTTTACCGATCTCTTAGGTTAAGTTTTATTGTATTTGACTACTATTGTCTGCGAGTTCCTTGTGACATTTTATTTTCCTGTACTCCTGTAAATGTACATATAATAGGTTGTTTTTCTTTGTTTTGTTGTGTCCATAAGACTTGATTTTAGGGATTTAATTCATGTTTGAATTACCTGTTTTATTCATTTTTCTATTTTTTTAATTTCCTATATATCTGATGACATAATTTTATTTTTTATGCTCTTTTTTTATGTATTTATATATAGTTTTAGGTACTTATTTACAATTACATTTTATTACCAAGGCTTTGTACACAACATTTATGTTAGATGCGAATAAAGCTATTTTTGACTTTGACTTTTGACTTTAACACTAGAGCAAATAATATTTGTTTTCCGAGGCACAGGCTAACATTATTGGAAAAAAGTCCATGTTACATGGGAATAAAACTTTTCAATAAACTAAACAATGAATTAAAAATAATGACACAAGAAAAAATGTTTAAAAGTAAACTGAAAAAAATACTTATTGAGTTGGAACCATATAGTATACAAGAATATTTGAATTATATATAACTGGATATAAGATAATGTAAATATTCTGAGTATCATTAGGTGTAAGGTCTTTTTTGTGACGCTATTTCATTTCATAGTTTATGTGTATATTTTTATGTATGTTACTGTAATCTGAAATAAAGTTAAAAATAAATAAATAAATAAATCAACCCCCTATCAAACTCCTCATTGATACGGGATGCCACCCACCCATCAGTACTGCAACCTCACATCGTGGAACAATATTTTCCCGACGCAATCTTCTATTCGAAAACACCAATCAATCGACCAATCATAAGTTGTACGGGCCAAAGGGATTCAAATTCTAAAGCAACTATTCCTCTATTCGCAGAATTTCGACCTCTAGACGGTAATATAGAATTCGTATTACATAACTTCCACGATTATTTTGACGACATTATAAGAATAGGCAACTTGAGGAAACTTAAACTAAATATAGACACCTCCAATAAAATGCTTTTTGATGAAAAGGTAATTATTCCTCAATGGATATATGGACATTATGAGTACCTAAGAATGCCCTTCGGACTCAAAAATGCCCCCTCGAGCTTCCAGAGACTAATGGGTGATGTCCCAAAAGGCCTTCAAAGAAAAAAAATGTCTTGTCTACATGGACAGCATAATAATATTTTCAACATCTCTTCAAAAACATACCTAGCTAGAACAAGTCCTTGGAAGACTAAAAGACTCTGGACTTAAAATTCAGCTCGACAAATCGGAGTTTTTTTGCAAGATGTCGAATTTTTGTGCCATATAATAGTCATGTCAAGTCAAAAAATAGCTTTATTGTCTTAAAACAAAATGTTGCTGACAAAGCCGTACTAAAATAAAGTCTAAAAACTAAAACTAAAATTAAAAATTGAAACATTACTCAATTAAAACAGAGAATAAAAGAACAAAAAACAGAAAAAACAAGTCTTTACCAACGCATGAAACACAGACAAAAGTATAAAATCTCGTACAATATGCAACGCAACAGTATAGAAAAATAACACACACAGAATAACACCTGAAGATATAAAACCCAATCCACAAAAATTTTTGTGGAGAGCCCTAAGTAACCCTTACATAATGCCTCTCCATACATTTAAATTAAAATAAGACTGAAAAATAAATTAAATGTTTCATAATGCATGTTCCCAAATAGTGCTGTTCAGTATACGTCTCGGTATACTGTTTTTGAATTCATTTTGTATTTTAATGTGTTTTTTTTTAAATATTTTTGATTTTTTAATTTAAAAGCACTTATTTCTGAGCATACTTGCCCCTGATGATGGAACTTTCTAGTTCTGAAACATGTAGGGCTCTGAGATAATTAGTTTATTTGTGGAGGAAAACTTGGTGTTTTTCTTTGAAAATTAGACTTGTAACTTACTAGCCCCCAGCTGTTACATGCTACAAACTACATGTAAATTGAACATAAGATACTTTTTAAATTATGAGGTGTTTCAGAAGAGTTTTATCCAAATAATTTTTATCATTCAATCATCAACGCGGAAAATTAATACCTGGAGTCGATAGGATAGTATATCGTTGATTTTAAAAGCTTTGGGTACATAAAAGAGGCTCTAATTTATCAGAAACAGCTTTCCATAAGGCCCCAATGTAAGTCGTAAGTCCATAACCTCACACTGGAACTTTTATTTGTGCAAATCAAACTCACCCCTGACCTCCTTTATCAATTTCTTTATGTATCAGCTTCATATCGTTAGTTCCGGGGCACTTTTTCTATAAAAGTATGTCTTTTTACCGTAAAATCGCATTATTTTTGATTTAGAGAAAAATGAAAATGATGACATTTGCATTTGATATTTTTGAATGTGCTTTTGACAGTTTCACAATTTCACATCACTTGCAGCGCCAGAATTTGACATCCGGATGTTTCTGACGCGTTCGAAAACATGGTTATAGCTGGGTTCGGCTTGCACACTCCGTGCACTCCGAGTGACTCCGTTCGCACTCCAGCCTTTGTCTGATTCGTTAAGCCCGGTATTCATAGACGGGTGCTTGGCTCAAGCTCCGTTTTTGACAGTTGTGAGCATCATTACGTGCTGTTTGGAAACGTAAATCTTTGCGTCAAGTCGTACTTGAGCCAAAACGCAACCTTGAGCTTGAGCATCGACTATGAATACGGGCCTAAAAGGCAATACCCGAACGGCTGGAGTGCGAACCGAGTCACTCGGAGTGCACGGAGTGTGCAAGCCGAACCCAGCTTATGGGTTGGGTTTCGTGCGGCACGTGACCACGTTGACTGTTGTTTTGAAACAAAACAGAACAGCTGTTTGACATTTTTGCTTCGACCGTTCCGGTCCTTCGTGTATTAATTGTTCACTCTAATCACTCCTTGATTACGTGACAAAAATTTGTTCATACTCCACTCCAACTCCGTGCTGAATAGCCGAACCCAGCTATGATCAACTCTCTGATCCATGATCCAGCGAATTTGACGGAGCAAGAAAGAGCGCTTCGTGCGAAATTTGAGAGCTTTCTTTTGCTCATGCGCTTAGGGGGTGTGACCCTAAAAAACGACTAAAGCTACTTAAATCAAGAAAAAAATTCTAAGTTCTCTCGTGAAAACCGCAGGCCTATATTCAAAATAATCTCCAAGAATATTCTTTGTGAAGGTAAATTATGCAGGAACTTGTGATGTCACAACCGCCGAAATCGCAGTCTTCTGTTCGTTCAGTCGTCAGTGAACTGTACCCTATACTTTGAGTGGTTGCAATTCGCTCTAGGAGATAGTTGTCTTTTATTTTGGAAAATTCTGACACTTGTTAATACTGTCCCTGATAATCCAGTGTGACGTCACAAACACCTAGTTGTAGCTTCAAACCGCCCTACTTCGAAAACGGACCATCGTAGCAAGATGCGGTTTAATTAAATATTTTTTCTACAAGTGTGCGCAAAGTAGTTACTTTGCGTATGCAAAGAAACCATTTCCCAAAAGTGTGCGGGAAAAAAATTTTCCCGCGCACACTTTTTTTTTCTGGTACTCATAATAAAATCCGGATGCTCCCTATTTGGGAGGCAAAGCCCTGCGAGAGCCCCTTATTTGGGGGGCGGAGCCTCGCGTGAGCCGGCCTAGCCCCACAGGGGGGCCCTTTTTGAGGGGCCAAGCCACAAGGGAAACCTATATTTGAGGGGCCCAGCCCCGTGGGCCCTCTTTTTTGGGGGGCAAAGCCCCGCGAAGAGGGGGCCGAAAAAATTTTTTGGCCGTTTCAGATAAACCTAGTTAGTTATAACAAGTTGATGTTTTTAATGCCTATAAAAATTAAAAATTTTAAAAAGAAGTATAGTCATTTCACTCGTAGAAAAAATATTGTTCCTAACACGTGCGCAAAGTAGTTTTCCCGCACTTAAAGCTTATCCTAACTGCTTTCGCGTGCGGGAAAACATAACTTTGCGCACTGATTAGGAAAACTACTATATTCCTAGATTTTTTTGCACACTTTTATTTTTGGATCACACCCCCTTTAACGGGTGGTGCAGTTTTGAGGCAAAAGTCGAAAGCGCTATTTGTAATTTCGTGATCCTGGGCGCTGAAAGTGAAAACGCCTATCACGAGACCCTTCCACTCCCACTCCCACTAGTCCCACTGGCTCCCACTATCCGTCAGGTCAATTTGTAGTTTGTTTTTTGTTTATTTGGGAATTTGGAATACCAAAATACCACCACAGATACCTCTTGTCTACTCTACTAGTCTACTTTCTTTCTGCCAAGTCGAGTCCGATCCAAAGCAACACAGTAATTTGTTTTTTCAAAATTGTATTTTTAAGTTTGTTTATGTTTAGCAATGCCTTGCACAAAGTGTAATTCCGAGTTTACACTATTAAATTGGAAAATAAAATGTGGAGAGTGCGAAAGCAAGTTTTGCAATAAGTGTTTGAAACGCAAAGATGGTGTTCTTCATTGTGAAGTGTGTCTCATCTTGATTAAACGGCCCCCGGACCCTCTAAAATTGATGGATCTTAGAGTCAAAGACCTCAGGGACTATCTAAACAAAAACAATATATCCACATATGGTTTGGTAGAAAAGTCAGAATTGGTCGACTTGTTTTGCAACAAATGTATTCCAGAGAAGCAACGAAAAGGCGTAGATAAACTAACTGCCAACTTCGGCGATCCTTTGAGACCGATAAACGGATTTTTAAATAATATCGAATCAGTAATCACCGAACACAGACATGGATCAAGACCTACTACAGTTCCAGCACCTCCTATTCCGAGAGATCCTCAAACTTCTTCCAATTTTGCTACACCTTATCATAGACCTGGTCCCACCCCTCCTCAATCAACTCCACTTCTTAATGTTACACCAGCACCTTCAGCTCCATCGTTTGAGCCTTCTCCTGTAGAGCAACCAACAACATCTCAGACACCAGAAATCACTCCGGAATCGAGTCCAGTGTCACAGAGGCATCCGAAATTGGAAGATTTTGATAATGCTGAGAATTTGAGCGAACTGAGCTCAAAGCAATTGAAGATTCTCTTATCTTTCAATAGGGTGGAATATAGAGGATGTATTGAGAAAGGTAAGAATATGATTGCTTGCATGTAACTTAGCAGGTAATGAGAGATTGGCATTAAGTTTGTTGAAAGAGATTTCTATGATGACTTACATCCTTATCACTGGAATATTATGAGACTAGCTTTTAAACTAAACCCTGCCATAACTTTCCACATCAATATGGTTACTTTTCCATTAACTTTTTTTTTGAATAGTTACCTACTTATAACTTTTTGCCATATCTTTTTCTCCGAATTATTTAAATTTAACCTTTGATTTTTTTTCTCCAAGGAACCTGAGAAAATTAGTTTTAATCTCGTTTTAATTTTATTTTGTATTTTATTTCTTCTACAGACTCATTTAAAAATAGTAGAAGCAGATTTATGGTATAATTTTTTGGAATGGAAAGGGTGTCAACAATGTCGATCGTTACCGGGTCAAAAGGAAAGCGTCCAGGGATTCCCATAGGTATTTGTAGGGTTTCCATACGTCCAGATTTACCCTGACATTTTTGGGTTTTTAGGGTGTTCGGGGAAGTCCGGCTGGAATTCGGAACAATGTCCGGAAAACTTGGAGATTGTGAAAACACTTATACTCAGTTTACGCACTATTCAAAAGACGTGAAATTTTACTTCATGCACTAGTACGTAAAGTAATTCACTTTACACGTACACAAGTGCGTGAAGTAGTGTCAATGACAGATGTCGACACTGTCATTTTTTTCTAGTAAATTACTTCACTTGCGTAAAGTATTTGTCAAAATTTATTTTTCTGCTACCATGCGTAAAGTACTCACTTTACGCACTATTCAGAAGACGTAAAATTCCACTTCATGCACTAGTGCATAAAGTAATTCACTTCACACACTAGTGCGTAAAGTAATGTCAATGACAGATGTTGACACTGTCAATTTAGTATTTTTCTGGTAAATTACTTTACGCACTAGTGCGTAAATAATTCAAAATAAAATTTTTTCCTACGAGCGTGCGCAAAGTAGTACTTTTCCGCACGCATTTCCGGGCTCAAAGTTACACTTTTCCGCACTCAGTGCGGATACGGGCCTTATCCGCACTGAGTGCCGAAAAGTAATTATAATTGTCAAGCAACAATAAGTGCACCTGTCGACTTTGACGCATGATGACAAATTTTTCCTCTTGTTTCTATATCAGCAGCCAACATCTATACAAACACCAAATATAAATTAACTTTGACACATTGTCAGATTTGTTCTCTATTTATATGCAAAAATCTACAAACTTTTTCATCAAATTTAAACGCTTTAAGATGAACAGCTCTGACGAGGATTTTCTGTTATTTTTTTTTGTTATGTAATTTTTTGATAAATGCATAGGTTCCCTTCAAGTTAATTAAAAATAACAACAAATTATCGTTTTTTTTTTTTAAATTTTTGTTATTACCTACCTGATATGAAGCTCGTAGGAAAAATTTTGTTCCTAACACGTGCGCAAAGTGTCTTTTCCGCACGCAAACACGTATCCGAACTCCGCTCCGCGTCGTTCGTATAACTGTGTTTGCGTGCGGAAAAGTAACACTTTGCGCACTTGTTAGGAAAATAACTATTTCCTACGAGCGTGCGCAAAGTAGTACTTTTCCGCACGCATTTCGGTTCTCAAAGTTGCACTTTTCCGCACTCAGTGCGGATACAGGCCTTATCCGCACTGAGTGCCGAAAAGTAAAAATAATTGTCAAGCAACAATAAGTACACCTGTCGACTTTGACACATGATGACAAATTTTTCCTCTGTTCCTGTTCCAGCTAATATCTATACCTACAAACACCAAATTTAATTAACTTCAACACATTGTCAGATTTGTTTTCTATATATATGCATCTACAAACTTTCTCATCAAATTTATAGCATTTTCCATTTGTCGAAACAGGGCAAAAAAATGTATCCTTATCCTTACATGTTACATGCTTTTAGAAAAAGATGCGGATGCACTCAGTGCGGCACTGATGACAAATGGAAATCGCCATTAAACGCTTTAAGATGAAGAGCTCTGACGATGATTTTCTGTTATATTTTTTTTTTGTTATGTAATTTTTTGATAAATGCATAGGTTCCCTTCAAGTTAATTAAAAATAATTAAACAAATTATCGTTTTTTTTTTAAATTTTTGTTGTTACCTACCTGATATGAAGCTCGTAGGAAAAATTTTGTTCCTAACACGTGCGCAAAGTGTCTTTTCCGCACGCAAACACGTATCCGAACTCCGCTTCGCGTCGTTCGTATAACTGTGTTTGCGTGCGGAAAAGTAACACTTTGCGCACTTGTTAGGAAAATAACTATAAAAATCAACTATAAGAAAGATTACCTTTATCCAACACATCTGCTTTATAATTGCAAAATTAATAATCTAAGAATACTATTCTTTCATTCAGTAGTCTGTTTTATGCATAAAAATCAGGATAAAAATATTATATCTCATGCTTATTCAACTAGAAATAATACAAAGAATATGCTAATTATACCGAATTGTCATAGTGAATTCTACAAAAGATCAGTTAACTATCTTGGACCAAAAGCGTATAATTTGATTCCTGACGCAATAAAAAGTAATATAAGAGCTAAAACGTTTTCAAAGCAAGCAAAAAAATATCTTTGGGAAAATAGAATAACATTTCTGAAACTGCTGTCATAAGACCTGGCTATAATTTTGTGCTATTCTATTCTATTTCTATTTCCCTTTGTAAAAATGACATAAAAAGACCAGGTCCGTATTAAAAAAAATGAAGCTGATGATCACAGCTCGATCACGAAACGTCGGATTTAAAATTTGAAGATACCATGTTGTGGAGCGAAAAAAATTATAAAACTTTCAAATTTAAATTGTGTCTCGAATCTCAATAGTTTTTGAAATAGTTGATGAAATAGTTTTTGGCGTTTTTAAGAAATCACCCTGTATTTCATAAACTAAAAGGAATTTGACAACACTGTAAACAAGTTTTGAATGGGCATCAAAAAAGGCAACTTTTCTCTAATTTAACCGACCTTGTAGCTCTTACCGTTTCGGATATAGTAATAGTGGTATCACTTAAAATATACACCCTGTATATAATATTAGTATTATAACATAAATTTAATGTAACAATATTTGTAACTATTTTGAAATAAATAAACTTGAACTTGAACTTGAAAGTGAAAATACTTCACGCACTAGTTCGTAAAGTATTTATCTAAATCTATTTTTTTACACATATCTGATTCGTTGTAGAAAAAAATTTGTATGCAATACGTGCGTAAAACACCTTTTTTCACTCATGTGATTGTCGCACTCACCTTCGGCTCGTGCATCAAAATTCACATTCGTGAAAAAAGGTTCACTTTACACACTTGTTGCATAAATAACTATTTTACACATATTTTAATGGTAGTAGAAATTTTTTTGTATAAGTATGCGATACGTGTGTAAAGTGTGTGAAAATTTCCTAACTAGTACGGAAAAGAGACTTTCCACACGAGTTAGGAACACTATTTTTTCTACGAGATGAAAAGTTGATATTTTTACCTACATATTTATCAATTTAAGATATTTTTTTCACTTTTTCGTACCTGTACCTGTAGTATACCTGTATAGCGGTAAGTACCTGTATTCTACTTTTCCACACTTAGTGCGGAATAGTTATTTTCCTAACAAGTGCGGAAAGTGATACTTTCCCGCCCGTGACAAGCAGTGAAGTGCGGGAAAGACACTTTTCGCATGAGTAACGAACATTATTTTTTCTACGAGCGTGTTCAAATATAAAAATAAAAATTGAGTAAATGCAAACCGATATATTATTAAAGAAATCGTTCAATTACAATAGTTATTAATGTATCAAGGGTACTAAGTAGATGATTATGCCCTGAGGGCGACAGTCTTACAAAGCCGAGTGCCTCTGGCCAGAGGGTTTATATATCTATTAGTACCTGTGGTGCATACAAACTTTTATGTCATACCAGTTGGTTGTGAATATAATATAGGAAGCCTTCCAAAGAAAAATACATATAATAGAATAAATTGATATATGTTTTATTTAAACCAAAAATGTTTTCACTTTTAGACATGAACATAAATTCTTAAATTTCTGATCCTCCTTATTTTTCTTATTTGAAGTCTTACCAAAAAAAATTTTTTATGTCAATCAAAAAAATCAAATTCAAAATCATTTTACATACATTATCTTTATATTTTTTAGTCTTTTTACATCTTTTTATATCAATATTATATTCAATATTTTCCTATTCATAGCAGAGAGTAAACAATTGACAAAAAACCTCAATTACTGTAAGTTTTTCAATTTTTAATTTATTAACTTATTATATTAGTTATGTACCAACTATTTTGTAGTGACTGACGAAGGTAATAAAAGTTACCGAAAGCTTTCAAAAGTAAAAAGAGACTCTTATTGATGCCTTAGAAACTATAAAAGAATTCAAAACTTGGCTGCAACCCTATAAACTTCAATTTTTCAATATATATATATATATATATATATAAGTATATATACACAAGTATATATACAAGTTTATATAGAAGTATATATCGGGTGACAATGGAACTACTACCCACGGCGGCATTCCTTAACGGCTCGAGATAGAAATATGCAATTCCGTAAGTCGATAGGGTTGAATATTTTGAACAATTTTAATATAAAAACAATTGAATGGCTTTTCCGGTTTCACCGGAAATGGTATTGACTTTGTTATTTTAAATGGGACACCCTGTATATTATCTTTTTTTTGGACTCTCTGAACAATTCTAAATAACTTTTGTCTAACATACCCTATGTCAAAAATTGATAGTTTTTGAAATAGAGTGGCTCAAAAATATGTCGTAATTCCTATTTGTTTGTATTTTACGTAAAAACTGAGTATGCCAGAACAAAAAAAATCATGGTTATTTGCTTCTTATTCAAAGAGGTATCCGATAAATAATAAAAGAGAAGAATTAATGCAAGTTAAGAAAAACGCGTTTTTCCAAAATGAATGTTTCAGTTTTTGATTGGAACCTGTACGAAAAT